GCGTTACCCATGTTACCTTCGTAATGACGCCAGTATGACGACAATGTTTTGTTTACTTATATCAAGGACATTATACTTCTGTATAATGTCCTTGCTTATATAGAGCACAATCACCTGTTCATATAAGGCTTTACCTCAAGTTCAATTTCTGTCAACCCTTGAAATATGGATCTATTTTACAGCTCAGACAGAATATAGGAGATTCAAAGCGTTTGCCGCTTTCGCAGCGAAAAAATAGACTTGTGCCTAATACGTTGATCTACTATTACAAATTCAAGGATATTTTTGTTCACACTGACAAAAACACGACGTCCGTTATTGCATCATCTGTTATTCCTCGTTGACCGTCTGTCAGAAGGTCATCTATTGTCAAAAGCATCCCTGTATTTTGTAGTCTTTGAATTTCCGCTAGCGAAATCCATAATATCCCTGTGTATTCTTGTGTTACTCAATACCTACTGGCTATTATTGTCCAGGACATGTTTTTACACGTGAATGTTATTGTCAAGTGTTGTATCTTTGGATGTCACATATGATTCCTCCTTTGAAGTAAGCTATGCATGTTTTTCTACTGAAGAAGTAGTTCAACGTACGCGAGGTCGAAAAAATAGTATGAATGAATGAATGAATGGATTTTATTGCTCGACAATCGTACATGGTACAATGTGTGGCAGTAATACAACAATAGTACAAAACTAAACTATCTTATTACATTTCTTACTACAAACTACTATCTATACAGTATATGAGTCACAATATGTTCATGAATTGATGATTTGGTCTCGCTTATGAAATAAGGTGTACAGAAATTGACCTACGTAAGCAGATAGGGTAGTAGGACATGACAATAATTCATGGAATGTATCGTACTGTGTACCAGATTGGGTGAATTTTGTCTTAGTGGTAATAGTCTGTAACAATGAATCTCTTTCTTCTCTATAGGTGAGACATGTCATAACAAAGTGAAATTCATCTTCAATATTCTCATTACATGTGGGACATGGAGTCTCTGAGTGACTGGTGTTGTGGTAGGATGGTTTGGGTGTGGTTTGCATAGTTTTTCACTGTTGTGTGTCAAACTTAGACATTATCTGCATTATGTTCTTCACAACATATAAAGTATAGCGTTGAAAGGTGTACTTCATATGACGCAGTTGTCATTTCTATCAGATCACAGTTCAAACATCGAAACACGTATGAAATTTTTAATTTCAAGGTGTTGAGCGGCCATTTTGTTTCCCAACATGCACTAGTCCATGGCGTATCCCATAGCAACGGCGCTTGATGTTGATTTGTGGTCCATAGAAGTATCAGTCGTGTAACTTACTCAATGGACAATTTACCGGAAAATTGGTTGCCAATGGCAACGCTTCGGCAACAGTTCAAACATCAAAACACGTCTGATATTTCAAGGTGTTGAGCGGCCATATTTGTTTCCCAAGATGCACTAGTCCATGGCGTATCCCATAGCAACGGCTCTTGTTGATTTGTGTTCCGTAGAAGTATATCATTCATGCAATTTACTCAATGGATAATTTACCGGAAAATTGGTTACCAGTGGCAACGCTTCGTCTTGGCCACACCCAAGCAATCATCTTAACTGCTTTCAAATTGCAAATTTTTATAGCTAATAAATAATTCACATGTCTACTTTGTAGTGAACAGTGCAACTATTCTTGTGAAAAATCGGTCTAATTGCAGACGAAGGTAACTATATATTCAAGAGATAGAACTAGGGGGAAAATGAGGAAGGGGCGCGACTAGTTGATTTTTTTCACATCACGAAGGTCGTTGCCATTGCAAACTGTTTTCGTCTTGGTACGCTTTCGATACATAACGAACTTTAACGAATTTGTGACTGAAGAAAAAATGGTAATGAAACGTCACATGATAAAGTTAAAATACAGAAACATTAATAAGGATGCATAACACATAATATAGCACTTAGTACTAGCTTCACCACTGCGGTTAAAATTGTAAGAAACAGGAGGGGAAACAGAGTAGAAACAGATAAAAACTCACTGGTCCCGGGCCGGGGTTCGAACCCACGACCTCCTGAGCACCTGCTTCATAACCAGGCGCTCTAACCGCTCGGCCGAAAAGGTTTAGACCCGTTGGCCGGGTCAGTTGGTAGCGCCTATAAACCCACACTTTTACAAAATTACAAGTATGTGCGTAGGTACGTACACTTATTCCCATGTAGTTTGTCGGGTATACTTCTAGGCATATACATACATATAAAGGTCAAATAGTGTTTCAAATATTTGTAAAGGGCATGGCAGTATGTAAGGTCGCGATATTAAGATTAAAAGTTCTTGGGTAACTCAGCATCGTATTTGCGTGTTTTGTGGTGTTATTTCGTCCGTATTTCTTCATTTTTGTGGACGTCTCCAGTTGTTCATTTTCTTGTTACTCTCCAAGCAGAGGTTGTGGGGGAATGATCGTTACATTTTTATATATGGCCGTTTTTTTTTTGTTCTGGTCCCCCGTCGGTGGCCGGCGGCCTTCTCTGGCTAATGGATGCCTGGCCAATTTGATACTGTCTTTTTTGCCACCGACAGGGATCTGCTTGGAGACTATTTCTTGTGACTCAATGTGAGGATTGAAAACCAAGTGACATCCTAGTCTGCACTTTGTCAGAAGTAGCAATAGCGAAAAGCGTTCTCTTGGGCCTGAGCATCAGACATAACACGAGTGTCACAGTAATTATTTATGATCACCGATAGTGACTGCTACGAGCAAGGTTGTAAAGGTTTAGTCCCATGGGGCGACATGGTTTTGATCTAAGGAAACCAATACCCTGGCAACAATACTAGCACATGTCACCCGTGGAGCCGTGTGACGCAACGGCTCAGACCCAAGAGGTCCCGGGTTCGAATCCTGCCTGCTCGATGCCATCGATCTTGTGCCCTTTCTTTTGCCCGACTTTCCTCATTTTACTCAGGTGTAAATGTACCTAGCTTCGGTTAGGGATGTCCCTCGGACAGGACGTTAAATGGAATGTTCGGCTTAAACCCCAGAGGTCCCGGGTTCGAATCCTGCCCGATGCCACCGATCTTATGCCCTTAGGGAAGGCACTTAACACGACGTTTCTCACTTCACTCAGGTGGAAATGAGTGCCTAGCTTCGGTTAGGGATGTCCCTCGGATAGGGCGTTAAAATTGGAGGTCCCGTGTTTGGGGAGAGCCACACCCCACGCACGTTAAAGAACCCACCACACTTATCGAAACGAGTAGGGGACCTTCCCGGTGTGGGTGGTTCAAACCTTACAGCCCGGCCTTACGCAGCTTGTACTTACTGTACAAAACTGTGGCTTTACGTCCCCATCCGAAAAGATTAATGTAAACCCTCACATTGTGCCCAAGCGGGGTTAGAACCTCTCACCTCTCGCATCTTCCAAAGAAGACGTCCTCCTATCTTTAATTTAAAATAGTGATGCTAAAATGCCGAAGTGTTCGTCCTAACCCTATAAAAACCATCGCCACTGTATATGATACTTGTTACCATTGTTATAACCCTTTATATACGGTGTCACTTTGTTAATAGTCACAGACAAACACAGTGACAGGTACAAATGATCTGTATACACACATTAAAGAGGGTCACATGTTAATATAAACAGTTGTGATACGTCTGTTTTGGCAAACATTACATCGGGTATTTTCAAACTTAAAAGAAGATATTGTAACCTGTATAAAGCTACATCAAAGAAAGATGAGAATGTGAAGAATTAAAGTTAAATTCTTTTGTTTTGTAGATTGCAATGTATGAAGGTCTCCCATGCTCCTATGCAGAGCGTAGGGTGGTGCCCATCTCCATTTCTGTAGCCCTTGGGCGACACACAGTTGTGCAAGGCACTACAGCAGGGGGCTAGTCCGCTGGTAGTGCTGTGTGTTTGACCTTCCCATACTCTTTCTCATATGTGCTGAGTGCTAAGCAGAGAAAGAAGTGTGTACCATTTTTAAAGTCTTTGGTATGACCCAGCCGGGGTTTGAACTCACGACCTCCCGGTTACAAAGCGAGCACTCTCAATGTACCAATTGAGCTATTGCACCGATTGCAATGTATACTCTTTCAAATATCGATAGGGATAATCTATTCGTGTTATAAGTGATCTCCCAACAATGCGAAAGGCTATCGGGTCACGACATGTTAATGTTTTGTAGCGGAATGGGCAACTAGAGAAACGGAAACAGAACAAAAAACCTGTCATCCGTATTGTTGTTGCGTCCGATAACTTTATTTTGACACAGTTTGTGTGTGGTCTGGAGTTTTCTTGCCGTGTACGCGGTCCTTTCATCTGGAATATTTCTTTGTGTGGGAACGAAATGCCCAATTTATCTTCAAGACACTTTAAGTCCGCGCAAACAGCGTTCTTAGTTCTTGAGTTGTCCTCTTTTGTGCTAGTGAAAGCAAGACAAAGTTTCAACGCTATCATATGCACGCTACATAACTGCATTGGACAATAGATAACATTAGTTTTAACACAATACCATTACAGTTATAGCACAAGTTGATTGCAAGCATTTGGTCAAATACAAATTGCAAGAAACAGAAAAAAAATGTAAGGAAAACAGATAACTGTAAGCATTACTTTGAACACTAGACTATATCTTGTGGATTAAAAGTTGCATGAAGTTTATGGCGTCCCCCGTCTGCATGCAAAAATGTATATTTTGCATGCAAGTTGCAGAAGTTTGTGGCGTCCTCCGTCTGCATGCAAAAATGTATATTTTGCATGCAAGTTGCAGAAGTTTATGGCGTCCCCCGTCTGCATGCAAAAATGTATATTTTGCATGCAAGATTGCATGAAGTTTGTGGCGTCCTCCATCTGCATACAAAAATGTATATTTTGCATGCAAGTTGCATGAAGTTTATGGCGTCCATGCAAAATGTATATTTTGCATGCAAGTTGCATGAAGTTTATGGCATCCCCCGTCTGCATGCAAAAATGTATATTTTCTAAATGAAAACTAATGTTCCCTTGTTATATTTTACAGATCAGTAACAAGTTGATGTACACGGGCAGTTCTGATCACACGGCGAAGTGCTGGGTGGTGGACTTCGGGGACCGCACCCGGGAATACAAGGGACAGAAACACACCGTGTCCTGCATGACCTTCCACGAAGGCGTCTGTAAGTATTCCCAAATATGCAAATAGTGTGCGTATGCAAATGAGGGGATAGCCACTGTTGTGAACGAGGATGATTGGAGTAATAAAATACTTTTTGGCGACGCCTTAGGGGCGTATCACTTGTTTCCATTGTTTCTAGTAAAGATTGATATAGAATGAATAAGAAGATCGAATATCAATTAAGGTACGTAATAATGACCATTGAATATGTTCAGCGTTGAAAGCTGCCATTTAATATTTGGCATTGGTATTTTGTCAATATGACTGAAAACGACGTTTCTTTTTCTAGTATTTACAGGGAGCGGAGATGCATGCGCAAGGGCGTTTGATGCGAAATCGGGAGCGCTGAAGAGAACGTACAGGGGTCACGAGTACATCATTAATGCTGTAGCGGTAAGTCGGTCTTGTTCGTCAATATTCTTCTGTTTTTCTCTTTTTTTTATCTGTAGACACTCACTTGCGTTTATGTGAGAGAGCTTCCAAGAGTTATGATTCCCTAAAATGCAAAGAAGACGCCAACATGGCGGCGGACACAGGCAGTGCCCGACATCCTTGATTCCCTAAAATGCAAAGAAGACGCCAACACGGCGGCGGATACAGACACTGCCCGACATCCATGATTCCCTAAAATGCAAATAAGACACCAACATGGCGGCAGATACAGCACTGCCGACATTCTATCACAGTAAAGGTACACGCGAGTGAAGAAACGGAACCTTTACGCATTCACTTGCGTCTGTTTGAGAGGGCCATACAATCTTTTAGAGAGCTTCCAAGAGCTATGATTCCTTGAAATGCAAATAGGACACCAAAATGGCGGCGGATACTGTCCGAGATTCTATCACAGCAAAGGTACACGCAAGTGAAGGAACAGAACCTTTACGCATTGCGTCTATTTTTATAAGGGCCCTAAAATCTTTTAGAGAGCTTCCAAGAGCTATGATTCCTTGAAATGCAAATAGGACACCAACATGCCGACGGACACAACAATGACGTCTAAACGTTAAACACGTGCCTTTTCTCTTCTGTATTCCCGGCCAGATTGTAGACCAAAAATTTCCAAGAGCTATAATTTCCTTGAAATACAAATAGGACACCAACATGGCGGCGGACGCAACAATGACGTCACCTGAAAACGTTAAACACGTGCCCTTTTCTCTTCTGTCTCCCCGGCCAGGTTGTAGACGGAAAACTCTTCACAGCGTCTCACGATGGAACACTGAAGGTGTGGAACGCCGAGAACCTGGTGGCGGAAGACTGGGGCAAGCCCAAGAAGGACGAGGAAGACAAGGAGAACGCCAAGCGCAGAAACTCCAACATCGACCAGCAGAGCTACCGCAGCAGGCCCTCTACCGGTTTGAGTGAGTACGACAAGCGGAGCCGCGAGAAAATCGAGCAGGAAAGGAAAGAGCGGGAAGTGATGGACATGGTGTAGAACAGTGACAGACCTTTGCGACATGTCGTGAAATGCCACCATTTTGCGGCATGCCGTAGGCGTTCACCGAACATGCGCCATTTTCCTTTTCCTGGTCATATACTAGTATTGCAAAATATGGATATGTTTGGTGTTGATTTTATCACCCAATATCTGTTCTATTTGGCTCAACCATTTGGTTTATTGATTTGTAGTAAATTGTACATAATATTATGTTGCCAGTATTTGGTTATTTTGTGTTAAAACGATTATCCAAGCAAAGCTGTAAAATTTCGGTCCCTTATTTTCGAGACAATCACAAATATACCCAGTTTGCACAGTTTGGAGAAGAAAGAATATTTGATATTCTTCATATTTATTTGTGAAGATTCATAAAACGCCAAAGAATCTCGCGGTCCGCCCGTTTTACCCACAAATAACACTTGGGAAAACCTACAAATCAAGGGCTGATTAAAAAAAACTTTCCTAACACAGTTATAGTCAAGATAATATCATATCATACGTAATATGAAAATTGAAGCCATTTTAGACGGTTGTTGTTGATAAAACATAGACGGGATGCAATATATTCGGTATGCGTATTCGGTGTTTGTGCGCCATCTTGAATTTTTGTCATAGATGCATTATACAAAATTATATCTCGTAGCATGACTCGTTGGTCAATGATACGAAAGACCAAAGGTACAATGCAACAAGGCTTCATTAGGTCAGTTCCCATCGTTCAAAGCCCATTTCTTTTCGTTCAAAATCAGATTCTCTTCGTTCAAAAACCATTTCATTTCGTTCAAAACCCATTTCTTTTCGTTCAAAACCTTATTTCTCTTCGTTCAAAACCCATTTCTGTTGGTTCAAAACCATATTGCTCTTCGTTCAAAACCGATGAGAAATGGGTGAGAACGGTGAGAACTGACCCGATGAAGCCTTGTTACATTGTACCTTTGGTCTTTCGTACAATGAAGTTCATATTACAACAAGTACAGGAGACTTTGTTCCAATGTCTATGGCAAAAACTCAAAGACGCTGAAACACTGGTCGGTTATTCTGCTTATAAGAATGGCAATGAGTTAGCAATACAGCATTAATGATGTACTACCCTAATGTACGTATTATGTATTTAAGTACTTGTGGAGTCGGCACAAATACATTGGTGATTTTCACAATAACAAGCCACATTGGAAAACATGCTCACAAAGCAGAAGGTGTGCCTAAAACATTTTCTAAAAAATCAAGGTCCAAACACCAAAAACACTATATATATGTTTGGCCAATAGCGAACAACAAGAAAATGTTAAAATTGCACAAATGTAAAAGCCTTCTTGCAATAGTGGTCTTGTCGGCTCCAAGATTTTAAACTTTAATTCCTAGTATATCATATTTAATTGGTGTTAGCTTACGGTGGGTGAATCACATACATGTTGTATTTATCCGGTCTTTAAAAGTTGTGGCCAGACCATATGAAGGGTACATTTGTGTTATTACGCCTCTAGCGCCTTTATGTTGCATTGCATCATGATGAATCGGTACGGCTTCCCTAAGCATACGCCATTTTGGTCACCTTGACCCCTGACCTTGTGTTATACTGGTCAAAAGCAAGAAGATACAAAATGGCGGCTGTTCATGCAGGAGTTAATAGAATTGATGTGTTTTTGTATCTTTGAAACACATTCAATTTGGTAGAATCCGAGATTGAAAATGGATCGGTACAGTTTCTCTAAGCATCCGCCATTTTGGTCACCTTGACCCTTGACCTTGTATTAAACTGGTCAAGGGCAAGAAGGATACAAAATGGCGGCTGTTAGGAGTTATTTAACTGATGTGTTTTTGTATCTTTAAAACACATGGTAGAATCCGAGATTGAAAATGGATCGGTACAACTTCCCTAAGCATCCGCCATTTTTGTCACCTTGACCCCTGACCTTGTGTTATACTGGGCAAGGGCAAGAAGGATACAAAAATGGCGGCTATTCAGGAGTTAATAGAACTGATGTGTTTTTGTATCACATTGGCAGAATCCCAGATTGAAAACAGGCGTCTAAATTATGTATAAGTTCGACAATCAAGGTGGATCATTGTATCAGACAATCAACCGTAAAATAGGTGATAGATTCAGACACTGAACACAAAATAAGTATCTGTGTTCAGTATTGCTCTACTAGTGTGTAGTTGTTCAGAAAACTAGTAGATGGCGTGGCTTTTCAGAGGTGACACTAAGTATATGCTGCATTCCTTAGACTTACATAGATCTCTTGTACTGAAATATATCAGAAGGGTGTCTTACATCCAAAGCCATTTTGAAGTCGAGATATTTGCATTTTATCAAGTCATTTATGCCAGTAAGATCAAGACATGTAGAGAGTCTGGCTTTGGAGGTAAGAGCACTTTTTTTCTGATATATTCTACATGAGGTGTACGGTAAAATATATATATTATATACATATACTCAGGACTGTACATATTTCAGCTAATAAGATATGTACTATGGGAGGTTGCAATTGCTTTGATAATGAAAGATTTAGTATTGAATTGCATGCCTATATGATATTATGTAAATAGCGTATGTCCGCAAAAAGGTACTAATGTTTAGGTGGACGTTACTTCTTTAAAATATCTGGCCGGAAATGTGCGATTTTGGATAACAGTGAGACAGATTGTATAATTTTTGTATAGAGAGTAAAGATGAGAGCTGGAAAGATGCGAATCGCCATTTTGTAGATGAAATGCAGTCGTAACTAGGAAGGTAACATTTGAAAATCAAATGTATAATGTTTGCCTTCGCATATGGTCTGGTTTTGCTCAAACACATTCATATATATAGTGACAGGAGTCTAAATCCCTCCTGCTATAAAATTGAAACATAATGTAGCCCAACACTAGTTACCATGGTGACAAACGTCTGGTTCAGGTCATTGACCTTATTTGTTTGGAGAAGAAGAAGAAGAAACAGAGCAAAAACAATGTTTCCTTCTGCGAAGGTAAACATAATTACGTTGAAGGGAGGAGAATTATTTTCATGGCGAAAACTATCAAGAGAATTAACGAGTAAGGTCTGGATTTAAAGAGTTTGGAAGGCAACAACTTCTCTACAACTGGTAGCATTCAGTTAAAGGAAACAACATCAACAACTACAACTACATTACATAGACCACGACTTTGCATGTCGTTCAAACTATCTCGTTAACTATTAAATTTCAGTATGTGTCTAACAGAGGATGAGTTTAATTGTTATAGTTTTACCTTTACTACTTTTAATCTTGTCAATGATTACTAACACAATGTTCTCTCTTTGTTTCTTTCAATGTTATTGTATGATTTTTCTTTTATTTGATTCTATGTAACGTACTTTCGAGCAGCCACCCACCCAGAGAGTATTGGCTGAACTACCCCTTAAAATGAAAGGTTGACGAGTATATTATCATGAAATTCATCTGTGTTGGTAATTACATGTTTAGAGTTAAAACTTTAGATCCAACACAAAAAGTTCTCTCATCTAGAGCTTTCGACCAGTCACTCTGGTCTTC